TGCATGGTTCGCTCAACTCACTCGCACCGCGACCATTTTTCCAGCCTTACAACGACTGGCGCACTTCGCGGCCGACTTGATTCTATTGCGGCATCCATGGTCACATTTCAGGCTTTTGCCGACGCCGTCAGCGAGACGAAAGACAAAGCTGCGATAACTTTGAACGAGAAGACTTCTACCCCACTGGACCACCCTATCGCCGACTGTATCAGAACAGCACACGTTGGTCGCCGTCTCCGCAGAACTTTGGCTCAGTTGGCAGTTCCCATTTCTCACGTCGTCGCTCACCTTCACCGATGCGGCGTGCCTCTTCTGCTCTCCGACCTTCTACTTCAATTCCTGACCACCAACTGGAAAACTAAACAGTGCAGCTTCGGGAGGGAAAGCTGCATCTTTCGAACTCCGTCAAACTCCTCCGGACCGCCCATCGAATGTTTTATTAGTGTACGTTGAAGGTATACAGACAGAGGCACTGGTAGACACAGGCGCATCACTTTCCGTAATTCGTGCAGACTTTTGTGCCTGCTTGAAAAAGGTTAGGACGCCATATGATGGCCCTCCCCTTCGTTGCGCAGATGGAGTCCCTATTCAGCCTTCAAGTGTTTGCACAGTCCACGTTTTCATAGATGGCATCCTTCACCACATTTAGTTTCTTGTACTTCCTTGGTGAACTCACACAGTAATTTTAGGATGGGTCTTTCTTTCTTCGGCATCAGCTTTCATATCGTGTCGTCAGTGAGTAATTCATATGTCAGCTACTGAGAGTTCATTCGATGTCGACCCATACAGCTTCCGTTTCGTTGCTGCCGCTGATTGTTTCATTTGGCCAGGAGATGAACAAATTCTCACGATCACTTCGGATACTATAGTTAACGGTGACGTGTTCATAGCCCCATCAGTTCGCTCCAAACCTGCGGGGCTTACCATAGCACCCGGCCTTGTGCGGTTTAACGACAGTAAAGCATTGGTCACCGCCTTGAACCCAACTTCATCGCCAGTGATGCTGCCCCAAGGCACTGCTGTGAGCTGCTTCGCTGACAGCGAGCCTTTCTCGCTGGTTCCCCTTCACGCAGAATCAACGCCTTTGTGTGCTACAACTGATATGAAGGCTACCACTGTTGCTTTAAATGACACCATAAGTCGTCACCTGACTGCCGAGCGAAAGAGAGACCTCTTAGACCTTCTCCAAAAGCACAGCCTTTTGTATGACGTACATTCCAAAGTTCTGGGCCGCACCTCCGTTGCAGAGCACAGCATCGAAACCGAAGGCAGCTCCATTGTACGCCGTCGCCCACACCATCTGTCTTCGGCGGAACGGCAAATCATTGAGGAAAACGTCACCGACATGCTCAAACGGGATATTATTCAACCTTCATCCAGCTCTTGGTCGTCTACTGTGGTGTTGGTCCGGAAAAAGGATAGCTCTGTCCGCTTTTGTGTTGATTACAGAGCGCTCAATAAGATCACGAAAAAAGACGTATATCCGTTGCCACGCATAGATGATGCCCTGGACTCTCTACAAGGCGCAGAATATTTCTCCAGCCTCGACCTCCGATCCGGGTATTGGCACATACCTATGCGCGAAGCAGACAAGGAGAAAACAGCGTTTGCGACGCCTGACGGGCTTTACAAATTTAACGTCATGCCTTTTGGCTTATGCAACGCTCCAGCAACGTTCGAGCGCATGATAGATACCGTCTTACGTGGTCTCAAATGGAAAACCTGTTTGTGTTACTTAGACGACATCGTAATTTATTCTTCTACTTTTCCTCAGCACCTTAAGCGTTTGGACGAAGTTCTAACGTGCATTTCGAACGCTGGTCTACAGCTCAATACAAAGAAGTGCCACTTCGCCAGCACAAGCATCCAAGTATTGGGTCACCTGGTCAGAAAAAATGGCGTTCGACCCGACCCCGACAAGGTTGCTGCCGTAATTAGTTTTCCACGTCCGGGCAATCAAAAACAATTGCGAAGTTTCGTGGGCCTGGTGTCTTACCTCCGCCGCTTCATCCGTCACTTTGCTGCCATTGCGGGGCCGTTACACAAGCTTCTCACATCAGGAACGGCTTTCACGTGGACTGACGAGTGCGAGTGTGCTTTCCAAGCCCTTAAGCGTGCTCTGACATCAGACCCCATCCTCCGTCACTTCGATGAGAGTGCACCCACTTTCCTGCACACAGATGCCTGTGGCCACGGAATCGGTGCTGTCCTCCTCCAGCGCGATGAAACATCACGTGAGCGAGTAGTTGCGTATGCCAGCCGCGCACTAACACCTGCGGAGCAGAACTACTCGATAACAAAGCAGGAATGTCTCGCTGTCGCTTGGGCCATCCAGAAATTTCGCCCTTATCTGTACGGACGCCACTTCACTGTGATCACCGACCACCATGCCCTATGCTGGTTGTCCTCGCTGAAGAATTTGTCTGGGCGCCTCGGTCGCTGGATACTGCGTTTGCAAGAGTACACTTTTGACGTTGTGTACAGGTCTGGCAAACAGCATCAGGATGCTGGCGCTCTCTCTCGCTGCCCTCTGCCACTTTCATCTCCAACCACGAATCCTCAATGCCCCTCAGGTGATCAAGCGGCTTCCTCTTCACCCACGTTATCACCCCTGGCAGTTGCTGGGTCACTATCTTTAAACAGCAGCGCCCAGTTTGCCGTGCGCCAACGTGACAACCCCTACTGTAACCGCATCATCGGATGCTTGAATGGCTCGTCTTCTCTACCTAATCCCAGACTACGTCGTCAGCTACGGCAGTTCAAGCTAGAGCACAACGTCCTGCAGCGCTATACTTACAATGCGGATGGGCATCGGTGGGTGCCAGTACTTCCCCGTTCGCTGCGAAAACAAGTTGTCAAAGCATTGCACGACGATTCATCAGCTGGACACTTAGGATTCCAAAAGACCTACGTCCGCGTTAGGAGCCGTTTCTTCTGGCCTGGTCTTTCTATCTTTGTGGCTAATTATGTCGCTTCTTGCACACTTTGTCAACGCCGGAAACGCCAACTTTAGCTCCTGCTGGCCTATTACAACCCATTCCATGTCCCGATACACCTTTTGTCGTTGTCGGAATAGACCTCGTCGGGCCACTTCTCGTAACGCCAGCGGGCCACCGCTGGATCGTCACAGCTGTCGACCACCTCACACGATACGCGGAGACTGCTCCTCTACGCACTAGCTCTGCTTCAGACGTTGCCGCCTTCTTTTTAGAAGCCATTGTGTTGCGTCATGGTGCACCTCGCGCGTTGTTGAGTGACCGAGGCAAGGCATTCCTGTCCACAATTCTCGATGAAATCCTAAAAACTTGCACAGTTCATAAGACCACATCCGCTTACCACCCGCAGACAAATGGCCTGACAGAGCGATTCCACCGGACTCTAATCGACATGATATCCATGTACATCGGACCAAACCATGATAACTGGGACAAAATCTTGCCGTTCGTAACATTTGCACACAACACCGCTGTTCAACGAACCACTGGGCATTCACCTTTCTTCCTCGTCTATGGTCGTGCGCCGACATTCACCATTGACACCTCTTTCTTCAATGTAACGACAAAAACGTCCACGACTACGCCAGAACATTTCGTTTCCAGGCTCGCTGAGGCACGACAACGTGCTCAACTCAACACGGAGGCCAGTCAACAAGACCGCAAGCAACGCTTTGACAGCTTCCGTCGTGACGTCACTTTCCGTCCTGGAGATGAAGTATTACTTTGGACGCCTGTTCGCACTCCAGGATTGTGTGAAAAGTTTCAGTCACGCTTTCTCGGACCTTACGTTATTTCTGAACGGACATCTCCTGTCAATTACCTTGTCACTCCCGTCGAGGGTTCCTCGGACCATCGTTACCGTGCCTCTGAGATAGTCCACGTTTCACGTCTTAAACCCTTTGTTCGCCGTACATTTCCCGCCTAAGTCTCGGGCGGGTCGGCCGCTCAAGTGCGCGGGGAAAACAAGTGTAAGCATTGTTTATGCGTTTCATCTTTTCATCTGTACATACTCATCATCACTAGTCAAGCTTAGGTTGTGGGGCACATACTCGAGGAGACAATAAAGAAGAGTCTTGAGGGTACTGGACGCCATCTTACAATATATATATATATATATATATATATATATATATAATATATATATTATATATATATATATATATATATATATAATATATATATATATACTATATAATATATTATAATTTATTCAACAAGAATAAATATATTTATTTCCCAACAGTTTCGAGAGGTGTCCTCCCTTCATCAGGGGATGAGTTTATACTAACCTGAAGTATAACTGAATGAAGTTCATGTTAGTATAACTCATCCCTTGATGAAGGGAGGACCCCTCCCGAAACTGTTGGGAAATAAATATATTTATCTTTGTTGACAACGTTCCCGTTGTGCCATATCCCATGCCTTCCCGAAGACTAACTGGCCCATTGAAATTATTTACTCCCACTATATATATATAATATATATAGATATATATATATATATATATATATATATAGTACATATATATATATATATATATATATATATATAGTATATAATACTTCACCTTAAAGCCTAACAGGACATTGCATAAGGAGAGCATGAAGGCATTAAGCATTATGTATATGAACATAACCTCCTTAAATTCTAATGATAAAAACAAGAAAACAATGTCAATTCGATTATATTCGATGATATACAATGTTTAACAGTTACAACCACAAGAAATGTACAACGGGAACTACATGCAAAGAACATGAGAAGTAGTCATTACACTACAGAGAGTAAACGCAAGTTATGAAATAGGTGAACCTCACAGCCATTCTCTTTTTAACTTTTCCTTTTCCTCCTCTTCCTCCTCCATGTTACGAAAACTGAACATTGCGGTCACGCGACGGATTTTCACAGGCGTAAAATATCCCACGGTAGTTTTTGTTTTGTGCCACTAAAAAGAAACATTCGAGATATCCAGTAGACAAGTGTAACCTTTTTTTTTATACTTACCAATGCAGCCGATCTCCCCAGGTTTAGTGTCTGGTGGGCATTGGCAATTCGCTTTGCCGTTTTCGTAAACACATATTTGCCCTTTGTTCAGCACACTCCAACTGCTCGTTTTCGTTGCAAGAAACTCCAGCTGAAGGGAGAGATAGACAGCTCGGTTGGAGAAAGTGACCCATTTTGCACGGTACACAATGACCTGCTAGCCGATTGTTTCTAAGAATATATTTGGTATATAGTTAAAAAAAACTATTTCGAAATAGCAGGGTGATTACACTGGAAACCCAACGTAAATGTTGACGGCCATACGTTGACAAGTAACAGATAATAAATATGCTGTATTTGGCAATTGTCTTCTGTTTTGTTCTGTTCTGTTTTAACTGTTTTGCTGTGGAGAGGTTGAGGTGCCTATTGCCTCGGCTACTCCATTTCACAAAGTTCTGCAGCGAAAAAGAAAAGAATAATACAGGTCGGTACCCAAAAATCAACAATACGGAAAAGAAGAAAACATGATAGCACACTGAGACCAGTTCAAATATTATGCCAATACATAGTTTTCTTAGCGCAGTTCACACAGTCATGAGCTATTTACACGCACACCTTACTATTCTACTGTCAGTATATATATGACCACATTTTATATATACCCATATCTGGCTGTATGTCATAGGCGCTTGTCCAGTCCGGTCTCCACTGAAAAGTCTGTCAGGAAGACTATTGCCTTTTTCTGGAGATGCATCTCAGGACATAGTCCAAGTAGTTTCTTTTTTTTTTTTGTGAGCGGCCGTCTGTCCAAACTTGCTAATTTGTTCTTTAATTTTTCTCTTTCATTCGCGTATTTAACGCCCTTCAAAAGAGTATGGCGAACATTTTCTTCTGCATGACCACAATGACATTCCAGTGAGTTGAATCGATGTATCTTAGGCAGGAAGCTGTTTGTGTATGCTACTTTCAATCGAAGTCGGTGGATAAATGTCTCTAGGTGTCGTGGGAGGTCTGTAGCTATGGAAAATTTTCTGTGTGGATCGACTTCATAAAGTGCCATTTCCTTTAATTTAGGGCTCTCAAACCACTTCTCCATCAAACAATGGTTAGCCCCTTGCGTTATATAATGTCGAATATCCGCCCAGACATAGGAATTGCGCAATCCCGTCCTTCCTTCAATGCTTTCTTCACGTGGCTATCAGCCTCTGCATTGCCCTTTATTCCAATGTGGCTGGGTGTCCATTGGAATACGATGTTGTGACCCTGCGATGAGGCATATTTCACAGTTTATGCAATACATTGTGCTATTTCACCATTTCTGTAAGGTGATCTCACATTTCTGATTAGCTGAAGAGCAGGTTTGCTATCAGTGCATATCGCCCATATTCGTGGCTCAGGACTCTCGCAGATAACCTTAACTGCTTCAAAGATAGCCACCAATTCTGCTGTCGTCGATGAAGATTTGTGCAATTGTCTTCAATTAGCTGTCAAACTAAATGTTCAACCACATATTGCACTCTCTTAACACATGAAGGCGAAATGCTGCTGCGCTCTTGTCAATCGCTAGAGCTGCACTGCACCGGCTATAAAGTGAAATACCTTAAACACACACACACAAAGGTTCTTGTCGACTCCCACACGGGAGCCTTGTTTACAAGTAAAATGAAAACATGCGTTGGAGCAGTTCGTCTTGTGTGCGCTTCAATATACCACCCCAGCAGCGTGTATACACTGATGGTGAATGGTCATCATTCTTGTGGAATGTGCACGGAGGGGTATGTACCATGAGTGACTCAAAATGAAGGCGCAGTGACCGTCTTTTCTCTGCCAAGGAGACGTGCCTTGTCCCAGTCGGCTGTCTTGTCCTTGAAGCACGCTCAGCCCCCAAGTGCGGGCTATCACATTTTCTCGCTTTATGTTATAATTGTGCTGCTTGAGATGTCTTAAGGGACCATTTGTATCTTTTAAGTTTTCACTTTGGTTGTGGCTGTACCTCGGGTCGTCTACCTTTACGACATGGCTATGCTATGGTATCTTTACCTCTTTTATATTTCTTTCTATCTCTCTGTGTATTTTTCTTTCCCTTTCGTCATCTCGATACTTTTCTCATTTTCTCTTTGATATCCATAAGTACTTGTTCAGTGGGCAGGATAACCGAGGGGTTGTGACGTTCGCCTTCGTACTGTGGGTACCCGGGTTCAAATCCCACTTCACTGCGAAACCTTATTTTGTAATATTTATTTCTATCCTCCTCTTTCCTTCTCTTCTACTTTCCTACTCTTTTCCTTGCTTCCTCGAACGCGCTGCTCGGCAACTCATGGTGACGTCATTGCTTGGCGAGGTTTTTTCCGCCAAAACCTCACGTACTTGAACAGCCTGTCTGTTACAAAACAAAAAAGCAGGTGCTGTTCACCTTTACACACGGAGCGGCGTAGGCGACCTCGTGTCATCTCGTAAGTTGTTGTGTAACCATCAGCGCACTGGAACCAGAAGAGGTTGTCGACCTTGACGCATTTGTTTTGACCTTTGTAGGCAGCTTCCTGATTCTTGAGCAGACTGTCGCAAAGGTTCTCTTCTTCAATTTCTGCAAGTGTATATAGTTAATAATTAATAGTTAGTAGTTATAAATTAATATTTATTATTATAATAACTATTAGTTGTTAATAATAATAATACTAATTAATAGTTAGTAGTTATAAATATATTCCGTGGTCTCGCACAAAATTTTTTCATGCAGGAACAGAAAGACTCGATGTTAACAAAGTCATTGATGGCACTATTGACAAAGAGCAGAACAAGACAAGCATTCCGTGATCTTAGCGGATTCACAGCGTTTAGGGACGTTAATAGTTATGTTTAGTAGCGTTAATAGTTATGTGTAAAGCCAACTTTTCTACTTTTGAGTAGACTGCAATTTTTCAATTGTAGCTTTTACGAAGATGTCCGAACTTATAAAAGCCCTCACAAAGAAAGTTCACTGTTTTTGTGCGTGAAAGTTCGAAAACGTGGTTGTATTCCGAGAAATGGAAAGCACACCTGTTGCAGAGTTTTTCTTGATCAGCAACTTCGGATACATCATGCACCATTCGCCGATTGGATGCTCGCATGCTTGTAGTTTCCTGAGCACGTGTTTTGACAGTGGTTTCTCTGCTATGAGTCTTGCCCTAATGTCCTGCCTGTAAATTACAAGATGAGATCATTCGTAGTTTTATTTTACAGCTTGAAGTGTAAACCGCTCAGAACTAAGTGCTCAACATTACCAAGAAATTAAATGTTGTCGTTCTGCCTTTTTTTGTGATATTAAGAATCCTATCCAACAAACCTGTTTGAAAAGTCGTAATACTGAAGGGCCAACCTCGTGAGTTGCACAGCAGAAAATAATTCTGCAACATGTGAGCCACCATTATGGACAGTCGGCTCACATCATGGTGCCAAGCGGGCAATACCGATCGCGATCACGGCTGATCAGGATCAGTTGTTTTGATCATGATCGACTACGTTACCGCTACAGAGAACTTAAGAGCGCACTTCCGCACCAAGGTTGGCGCAGACTTCAGGCAGATAACGATCTAGAAGCCAAATCGCTATTCGCATAGGGTTTTATCCGGATCCACCCTGCATGGTCACGGTTATAAGTGGCCATAGTTTTCACAGATTCTATTTGCTTCATGCCCGTATATTCCAGACTATTGTACGTGTCGGATAGCAGGCGCAAGTTTTATGCTACGTGCAACAGACAGAAAATTATGGACCATCTACCCGGAGGACACCATGATGGAATGCGAAGCAGCAGTCGTGCGTACGGCGTTGACCCGGCTGAAACGGCTGTGGACGCGGCTGCTGGAAGAACGGTTTGTAGCGAAACTCTGTGTAGCCTTTTCTCGAGTAAACATTTCATTGAAACGCAATGACACTGGAGGCGGGTTGGGTTTTGTGTAAGTTTCATGCAGGTAAACGAGCCGAATAAGTGTTTCCACGCGACGTGCGGTGGAGCGTTGCGGCCTTTGAGAGGCTGAAGCGAGAGAGAAGTGTGTTGCAAGCGGGCGGAGGAACAACATTGCCTATAGGTGTGTTGGAAGAAACCAGCGAGCCGGCAGCTGTTGCTGGTGAGGGAGAGAGTGACGTCAACTTTAGCAGTGACTTGACCTAGTTGGCATCGTTCCAACAACTGAGGTGGGGGGAACGTGGTTCGACGCGCTGGCACGGAGGCATGGATGGACGGCGCTACAGGCTAGTCAAAAATCTGCCTCACATTAAAAGCAGTTTAAGCATTAAAAATATCGGCGATTACTGATGACAACAGACAAGAACTTTTACTTTTTTAACTCGCACTGATGGCTCATATCTGTTCTTGTGACTTGGCCAAGACAGAATGAATTAGCAAATTTATAAATCAAACTACGCTTACAAGTTTCGGGAATGAGATCAAATCAAATCAAATTTACTTCGACAATTATGTTCAGGACCATGTACAAAAAGCCAGCAAGGCTTGACGAGGTCCATGGCCCCAATTTTCCGGGCGAAAACAAACAGCAAATGAGAACAAATCTTCAACACTAAAACAGAAATTATAGGATGGTAACACAACTGATAAGATATGTTATACAAACCTATAAGTTGTACTCGTCATTAATGCACAATGAAAAGCTCAGAAACAAGCAAAAGACAAAGAAAAAGTGTAAACACACTTTTTATACAAAACTATATACCACATTATGGGCACTACTACATAGGTGTTTGCAGAGACAGACATGTGTTCACTCTTTCACACAGTATCGCGGAATGTTATATTATGTTTTCGTGTTTAAGTGGTATGGAAGTTTATAGCATAACATCTGGCAGGTAATATTTGGTATGGACCTGGGTAGTTCCCATATTTAAAAGCTCTGCTCTCATTAATACACTTATTATGGCAAGTATGAAATTATCATTTTTCGAGTGGCAGGTCATGTGCTCTTTCTTGTTTTTAAGTTTTAGCCTCAGTAAACAAAATATCCTGCTACATTCGCCCAAACACTGATTATTCTATTTAAAAGCTTCAAGCTCAATCTTATGTTGATTTTCTCCTCCCCATCAGAAAGAATGTTTCGGTAAAGAGCATGTTACTCACGTGCAGTTAAGTATCTCAACCTTAAAAACTTCTTTTCCGATACTGGTCCGTATCTGCAGATTAAGAAGAAAACAAGGCGAATAATCACGCATGTTTACGTTTCCCCCCCCCCGTCCCCCCACAAACGCTGTCAAATGTCCCTGAGGATAACTTAGGTGAATACAGTGGCTAACAGAAAGGTGGTTTTTTTTTCTTTAAAAAGAAAGAGTACTTGTGGTGCAAAAATGTGCGATGTACTCAACGTAACCACCAGCTGACAAATTAAAAAAAAAGGTCACAGTGGAAGCCATCTGACGTTTACAATAAGAACGGTCAGTACGCATGACATTGTAGCTGATTAAACACTTCGGAAAACAAAACACGCTATATCAGAGCTACGACTTGCTTCCTCAATCGTCTTTTGATGTGCCGATTTATATTACAGAGAAGCTATTTATGCTTATCATGTGTCGTTGGCATGGTGATGCTAAAAAAAATTTAGGTGTCGTGACGAGGGTGGAGGCGACAAGGTAACATATGTTAAGGCTTCTAAAGTAGATGCCTGTCACACCTGTCCCGTTTATTAGGGAGGCGATCGCCGGGCTAATTCCAAGAGCCGAAGTATCGGCCCCCCGAACCGCACCACGAAAGCGTGGACAATTTAGAAGTGGTCCTTATTGGTGCGCCAGCGGACGCCGGCTGTGGCCCAAAGAACAAGTCAGAGTCGAGAGTTGATAAACAAAACAAATATTATATTCTCAAAAATGGCAGATCGAAAACAATACACAAGAAATGCCACTCCACAATAGTTACATACAATACGTCACCAATCAGACAACGTACTACACAGTACAATCAGCCACACTCAAACAACGGACACAGACAACGATACGCACTACATGCCGTCGCATGCATTGAACAACACAAGACACTTAAGGGACTAAGAGATAGAAAACCTATTCAGTCCAAAGTCCTTGGATCAAAAGTCTGAATGATACTCTTCCGAGAATCACTCACTCAAAGTCCAGCGTTGTTGTCGTTCCGCGCCCTCGAAGTTTCTCTTCCAGGAACCTCGCGTCTTCAATTGGCCTCTCTCCACGCTTCAAACTTCTTTCGCCGGAAACACGTCGGCTTCACACACGCAGCTGTTGCCACGCGTCTTCGCTCGATAGCGGAAAACACACGCTCTTGCCTGTAGCCTCGAGCCGTCCCTACGGACCAAAACTTACGCCGACTACACGGCGGACTCTCTACGCACTCTGGCGCTCACTTCCGTCTCCTCCTGTCTGTCACTACGGGCAGAACCTTCGCCGACTCCACGGCGGAATCCCTACGCGCTCCGGCGCTAACTTCCCGTCTCCTCTTGCTTTCCTCGTCTCGGCTGCTCGGTAAATACCTTGCGCGCGACTTCCAGATGTTTCTCGTCATTTCGTCGGCGCGATACGCAGCGAAGGCTGGGGAGAGGCACGAGACGGTTCGACTGCCCTCTCCGGAGGATGATTCACTCGGTCTGACCCCGCCTCCTTCGTTCGAGAAAAATCGCGGCCTTGCTGGGCCGCCGATGTGGGGTGAGGAGGATCGTCTGCGAAGCCGTGCTTCTGCGGGGAGAGCGCTCGCCCGGGAGCCCTGGATGTTGGCTTTCTTTTTTTCTTCTTTTTACCTCGCGGCGTTTCTGCCGCCCGTTGTCGCAAGGATTTGGCGGCGCGCTGTTGTTTAGCGCTCGTTCTGTGACACTGCCCCCCACTTTAAGAATATTATCTCATAATATTCAAACCACACAAACGAGCGCGAAAAGTCACCACACACTCTCACAGACTGTAACACAATCCGGCGCTCATGACACTTCACATTCACAATATATCACTCAATACAATTGGACATTACAATTCGATTACACAGCACAGGAAAACACAACCACAAGCACATGAGTACAACACTCCACCACACATTCCCAACGATACAAATGTACAAAGTTCTCTTTATACAACAATTATACAACGCTATACATCACATCATCGCACAGAACACTTTGACTCGCTCGACATACACTTGAGACACAGGATAACAAGAACATTAACACAACATATGGCACTCAGCACTGCCAAACACATTCTGATTCCACCTCAGCACCTATCTTGCGTACTTCGAACAGCGCTTGCGCCCCTTTTTGCGGTGCTCGCTCGATCTCTTCTTGTGTTTCCACGTTCCTTTTCGGCGAGCCCTTTCCAACGACGATATCTGAGGTGTCGTCTCAGCCATCGTTGTCTCTTCCGACACTGTTAATGCGTCATTACATTCGACGGGTCCTGTCTGTTTATTTACCCGCTTGATAATGCCTCTACATTTTGCCCGGCTGGCCAACTCCGTCTCCTTTACACTGTCGGTCGGTTGAAGTCGTGCCGACGTAAGTCCGGTTGCTCGGCCCGTGAACTTATTCGACACGATCGTCTTCTCCTTCGCTGTCTCTTGCGCCGCAGCTTCTCCTTGGGCTCTAGTGAGATCCGTCACGGGATGCTCCTCCACTGTATCTCGCGGCCCGCTGTGTTGGCGAGGGCTCTAACTTCGGGTCTTCTCCCAAACATTCTGGATCACTTGGCCCTCGCGCCCCGTCGATGTTTCCGATGACAAGGTCATACAGGGGGGTCGTCATGCATAACGCAGTAACCTTCCCGCTGAAGTACGGGGTTTCAACCTCAATTCTGCTTCGGGAAGCATCCGGACCGTACGGTCAATTAGGCAAACCGGTTTCGTTCTGCCTGTCAACTCTCTTTCCCGTACCGAATTTCTCCTCACGATAACCGTGGAGCTACCGGTGTCTCTTAGAACCGTAATCTTCTTGCCTGCAATCTTTCCAGGAAGCGTTGGCATTCCCTTCGTAACACCGGTTGGCTGTTTTGACATTACGGCCCCCACAATAGGAATTTTCTCCCCATTCTTCAACTCTACGAATCCATCAGTGACGGCATTATTATCAGATTTCGGTGCCGCTTGCACACAAGATACCTGGTGAGTTTGATTCACTCCGTTCCGACAAGCGTCTGCTTTGTGCCCCGTTTGACCACACTTAAAACATTTTACTGCCGTAGGGCTCGTAAAGACCGTTCGACAGTTTTTCGCGCGATGACCCACTCGGTTGCACAGAAAACATCGCAGAATGCTCTCTGGTGCACGCTTCTTTTCTTCGGGAGCCAATTTCTTCGAATCATCGGGACAATCCTTCTTGACTTTGGCCAAATTAGTGCCACCTTGCGCTTCCAAGAATTGATCAGCCAATTCAAGCATGTTTTCAAGTGAGTCAGCCTTCCTCTCTTTTAAGTACAGTGACAGGCTTGGGTGGCAACTAGTAAGAAATTGTTCTCTAATTAGGAGCTCTCTAAGCTCCTCGTACTCCTGTGCTGTCCCTGAAAGTTCAATCCATCTGTCGAAATAATGGCAAAGTCGGGCGGCATACTGCGTAGCCGTTTCACCATCAGCTGGCTTTCCTGTCCGAAACCTGTCCCGGAATCCTTCCACAGTGAATCTAAATCGCTTCAACAAAGCCGCTTTCACCTTTGCGTAGTTGGCTGCATCGGTCGGCGTCAGCCTACCGTACACACTGAGCGCTTCACCACTCAAGCAGGTACTCAAAGCAGTTGCCCATTGCTGTTCCGGCCAATTCTGGCTCCTCGCAATCGTCTCAAATCTGTGGAGGTACGCGTCTAGGTCGTCCTTCCTTTCATCAAACGCTACGAGCAGCTTGCTTGGGTTCAAGCGGAAGCCGTGATCTTCCCGTTCGCTGCTTTCAACTCTAGCTTGGACGGGAGTTTCGCTTCGCTGTTGCAAACGGAGCCGCTCGAGTTCCATCTCGTGCTGCCGCTGCCGCTCCCTTTCCTCTCTTTCTTCTTTCAGCTGGCGCTCTTTTGCCTCTCTTTCTTCTTTCAGCTGTCGCTCCTTTGCTTCTCTTTCTTCTCTCGCCCTTTCAGCGGCCAGCCTTTCTCTCTCCAACTCAGCTGCTTTTTCTTCCTTGGCCCTCTCAGCTGCCAACCTCTCTCTCTCCACCGCCTCTTTCTCCTTCTGGCTTACCCACTTCCGTAGTTCGGCGCCAGAAAGACCCATCTTCTCACCAAGAGCAACTAACTTTTCGAGATCCATTGTGTCTCGCAAATAAAACCTTGCCACGTGTAAAAAGTATCTGCCTAAATCAGTCTATCGGAACACTCTCCTGCACTCGTTAACGAGAACACTGAACAACACACAAAATCGTTCCGATAGCACTATCAACAACTCGAGGCTCTTTCTTACTACTTTGGACACACTGTGCACCAAAAGGTCCTGTTTCGCGGACGCCAGATTAATTGTCACACCTGTCCCGTTTATTAGGGAGGCGATCGCCGGGCTAATTCCAAGAGCCGAAGTATCGGCCCCCCGAACCGCACCACGAAAGCGTGGACAATTTAGAAGTGGTCCTTATTGGTGCGCCAGCGGACGCCGGCTGTGGCCCAAAGAACAAGTCAGAGTCGAGAGTTGATAAACAAAACAAATATTATATTCTCAAAAATGGCAGATCGAAAACAATACACAAGAATGCACACTCCACAATAGTTACATACAATACGTCACCAATCAGACAACGTACTACACAGTACAATCAGCCACACTCAAAACAACGGACACAGACAACGATACGCACTACAATGCAGTCGCATGCATTGAACAACCAAGACACTTAAGGACTAAAGAGATAGAAAACCTATTCAGTCCAAAGTCCTTGGATCAAAAGTCTGAATGATACTCTTCCGAGAATCACTCACTCAAAGTCCAGCGTTGTTGTCGTTCCGCGCCCTCGAAGTTTCTCTTCCAGGAAACCTCGCGTCTTCAATTGGCCTCTCTCCACGCTTCAAACTTCTTCGCCGGAAACACGTCGGCTTCACACACGCAGCTGTTGCCACGCGTCTTCGCTCGATAGCGGAAAACACACGCTCTTGCCTGTAGCTCGAGCCGTCCCTACGGACCAAAACTTCGCCGACTACACGGCGGACTCTCTACGCACTCTGGCGCTCACTTCCGTCTCCTCCTGTTCTGTCACTACGGGCAGAACCTTCGCCGACTCCACGGCGGAATCCCTACGCGCTCCGGCGCTAACTTCCGTCTCCTCCTGCTTTCTCGTCTCGGCTGCTCGGTTAAATACCTTGCGCGCGACTTTCCAGATGTTTCTCGTCATTTCGTCGGCGCGATACGCAGCGAAGGCTGGGGAGAGGCACGAGACGGTTCGACTGCCCTCTCCGGAGGATGATTCACTCGGTCTGACCCCGCCTCCTTCGTTCGAGAAAAATCGCGGCCTTGCTGGGCCGCCGATGTGGGGTGAGGAGGATCGTCTGCGAAGCCGTGCTTCTGCGGGGAGAGCGCGCGCCCGGGAGCCCTGGATGTTGGCTTTCTTTTTTTCTTCTTTTTACCTCGCGGCGTTTCTGCCGCCCGTTGTCGCAAGGATTTGGCGGCGCGCTCTTGTTTAGCGCTCGTTCTGTGACAATGCCCAAAGTATTATTGATAGTGAAGCACGGATTTGGCTTGTAATCAAATGTAGATCAATCTGACGAACAGGATGCTGAGAGGGCGAAACAGCCCCTGCTTTATAACTTTTATGATAAGGCCATGTAGGGTCCTATTGGAAGAATAAACTTTGCACCTATGAAAGTAGTACCATATGGAGCTGCCGTAATCACCTATGCCACATGCAACGATCAGAGTATTGACCTCAAAATCTCTCTCGTTTTGAGCAGTAGCCGTAGCCACACATGCCAGAATTAATATCTCGCTTACGGTGGCTTCAAAGCTGTTTACAAGTCGAAAAAATGTACCTTTTTACGGTGTGTGCCATTTGATTTGATTTGATTCGATTTATTGTTTTCCATTTACACAGATGTGCAACACAGTGGTGAATGGAGGTCTGTGAGGGAGAAAAGCCGCACCAACGCGGCTTGAGGTAGACCTCACCTCCTTGGTGCAGTGGGGATGCATATGGTAAGGCACATAATAAACTTGTATAATACACTTTCATAATACACTTGTATAATACACTCATACAGTGACTATAAGGTAATACAATGAGTGGATGAAAAAAGCAAAACCAAAATAAACATTCGCAATGTCGATTACAATACTCCGACAAAAGCGGGAACGAAATAGATATGTACTTCATATACAAGAAAAATAAGAAAAGAAAACACACAACAAATTATGAATTTTTTCAAAACACTCTATACAGGGCATGCAGAGCAATCAGATTTTTAATTCTGACAGTGATAAATGGGGTAAATAATAGCCTGCTTTGTTGTATGAGTTAAGAAGTGTAGGGAGGTTGTTCGATAGCATTTGGTAACCATAATTAGTTCTGAAGTGCGGAACCTTTCACACTTCTGCAGTACTAGTGCTATTAGACGATAAAATTGCCTGATAGCTTTGCAAATTTTTCTAATTTGGAAGTGTTGCGTCTAGCAGTAAATCATACTCTAGATGGAAGACATGGAGACATTTGTGGTTTGAACGACATTTACAGCTAAGCTAGCTAGTAGGCACTTGTGTATAAAGAATAAAGCGTATAAGGGTGGACACGATGGAAAAAAGAAGGAAGAAAGGGGGGAAGAAAACAAAAGATGAAAAGAGAGAGACGTTAACTACAGATATACCTATAGGTGGCTTCCCCATGCATAGGGAAGGGGAAAAGCAAATAGCAAGGTAAGAGAGAAATGGAAAATAAGAAAGAATGACTGAAGGCTGTTGTTTTGAAAGTTTATCCTCCCTTGTGTCAGTGTTTTCATGCTTTGTGCTCATGCATGATAAAGTGCGCTTTGTTAGAATATCATTCACGGTTGAAATTCACGCAAGCATTACCACAGACTGGTTGGCGGGAATTTCGAGCGACAATTCCAGCAGGCTGCAATTTCGCCGAGAACCGCAATGTGTACTTAAAAGTCCAAAGTGTAAAATACAAGAGTATGAAGCTCGGCGGGTTGGTACTGCATAACATCCTTTGAGGCGTGCAACTCCAACGCATGAACATGCGGCCAAAAACAGAGCCCACGTGGAAGCATACACTTAAGGCACACTAACGTTACCGTTATCTGCCAAGTATTAACGCTGCTTCTGACATCGCAGCTATTCTTGTGCTGGACCATATGGCACACAAGCGCACGTGTCGCATAATTACGCTGCTGTTCTCAACTACACCTATAAATGGCATAACTTCCTCGGTCGCAGAGGAAGCGGTAGTTGCAGAGTGAAACGGGGTATAAGCCCGGCTCAACCTTGAATATGGCCTTAAAGGCCTAACCACACGTAATCGTTGCAGCGCGTCAGTGCGTGGCTTTATGACGCGGCACCGCACCCTTTCCTTATGGAGTGGGAGGGTGCGTGTCTAGGCGAAGCTGCGTGCCCTCTCTCTTTCTCTATAGGAAGAGCGTGCAGCGCCGCGTCAAAACACCACGCGCTGACGCTCTGCATCGGGTACGTGTGGTCAGGCCTTGAGTCACTGTAGCAGGGGCGGGTGGGGCAGAGGCTGCCACACTTCCTTGCCCGTTCATCTCTACCGTCTAGAAATAACGTTATCACAGGTATCCAGACATAATGAAAAAAAAAACATCACGGAAAATAATAGGCACGGAAACAAAGAACCACAGCTCTACTTTTTCTACAGATTTCATTCTGGGTGACACTGGGATAGAATCTTTTTTCTAAAAAAGAATGCGGGTATCTGGTGCTCAAAATTGTGCTCAAAATTGCACGTGGGGCGAAATTTTGTGGCTGCCCGAAGTAATTGCTTACCGCTTCCAAAACACGATCCTCATACCATTTGCAATGGTCAGAATCAAAAGATATGTTTGGGGTGAATGACACCGTGTAGTAATACTCATCTGCAAAAGCAAAGAAAAAGATACTGGGAATGGCATCAGCCTCAATCTGCAAATGTTTTAAGCTAAAAGCAACGGCAGATTTATTTTCTACATCGCTTAAATGCGATGGGTCGGCTTACCACGGCGTTTGAGCTAAGCGCTATTCCTTAACTAAAGGAAACTATTAGGTCAACATTGATTCTTGAAATAGCGGTCCAGAAACGTCGTATAGTGTTACTTTTGTACGAAAGGAGGGTCCATTTTGAAATAGAATCACGTTTTAGTGGTCCGCATCAGGTTCTTACCCGCCTCAAGAAGCGGACTGACCGGACCGATTCACGTCACTGTTGCCGCGCACAACGTTGCCCGGCTTTACTGCGCTAGTAGCAGCAGACCGAAAGCAGCGGGAGCCACGGGAGCAACAACGACCATTGATCAATTCCCCGCCATTGACTCTGAGATTGCAGACGTTTTTTTTTTTTTTTGGTTGAACTGCGCCCCGAAAGATGACACCACCTGTCCAGTGCAACTACGCGAAAATTGAGTTTTTGGACGACTCGCGTTATTGCCATGTCCGGCGGTTCTTTTCTCCATGAATCAAACAGAAACGAACGAGCAGCATTTTATTGAATCTCTTGATGGATGAAAGGTTCTTTACTTTGGGCAGCTAGATTGATTACTAGAGATTAATTGTAGGTGGTTTGTCTGATGTCATCGGTATCATTTTCAGAATGGGCTACGGCCACGCATGTGTTTTTGTGCACTTACCTTAATTTATCCGTAAGTAGGGCACTCATTTTGATAATAATGTCGTTTTAGATGTTGTCATACATTGAGCTTTCACTTTGACGTAAATTGTTATTTAACTTTAGTGTCCCTTTAAGCAACAATAATACCTACTTCCATTTTTCTTGTTTCTCTTTCGGCCGCTCTATTTCCTGCCTGTAGGGCAACAAATTGGAAAAGAAGGTGATAGAATCATTTCTCATTTTCCCCTCGATCCTCTTTCCAATTTCTTAGTCAAGTAAAATTACACACCCTCCCCACCTACCACCGAAAAAAAATCTAAGCTATTGTCCTGTGTGGCTCATACAACATGTGCATTCGTTTCTTCCCTGTGACTGTTCCCAATATATTTTCCTGTTCTACAACGTTCCTTGGATCAATCGGAACACTGTGGAACCTATGCTAGAACTTTGGTCGCCCGTGCGTTTTGTCCTTGAATTTCGTCGTCGGAAACGTGGAATCCAGTTTGGCTTTGGATGCGTGCTACGATCGCGAAGACCCCAGTTTCAAAACAAAGAGACGCTAAATGATCCGGAACGACCGTATAATTAACGGAAGTGATCTATTTTTCAAGCACAAGAACCTTCATTTCTTAATCAGTTTAAAAATGCACATTATGAATGGTAAATGTATTGAAATATTTATTGGCGCAAACGCATTGACCGCAACAAGCTTCGCTAGCTTCCATTAGGTTGAAGCTGATATATATATATATATATATATATATATATATATATATATATATATATATATATATATATATATATATATATATATATATATATATATATATATATAATTATATATATATATATATATATATATATATATATAATATGTGTGTGTGTGTGTGTGTGTGAGGTCTAACAGACAATAATGCCAAGGAAAGTGTAGGGGAAGATATTAGACCAAATTGTTATGTAAATATGAAGAAAAGTGGGTGAAAAGATAACTTGCCATGGGCAGGATCCGAACCTGCGGATCCGGATCCTGCCCATGGCAAGTTATCTTTTCACCCACTTTTCTTCATATTTACATAACAATTCGGTTTAATATCTTCCCCTATACTTTCCTTGGCATTACTGTCTGTTAGACCTCATTAATATTGTGTAAAAACACGAAAAAACGAGCCCTTAGGTATACACTTATTTTCTTATATATATATATACAAAAAACAAAAAGTAAAGCCTCAATATTCTCGCTGTATTTGATGTCTTTTATATTTTTATTTTGACACAGTCATTCCCACCGTTGGGGAGCAGCAGTTATGAGGCTTGGATGCTGACCCGAAGGTCATGGGTTCGACCCCGGCTGCTGCGGTCTCATTTCGATGGAGGCTATAGGCCAGTATACTCTGCCATGGCAGTGTATATACGTAAAGAACACCAGATGGTCCGAATTTCTGGAGCCTTCCAGCACTACGGCATCTCTCACGATCATATCGTGATTGGGGAACATAAGCCTCTAGATAATAAATTAATAATAATAATAATAATAATAATAATAATAATAATAATAATAATAATAATAATAATAATAATTATACATTTATTATTATTATTATTATTATTATTATTATTATTATTATTATTATTATTATTATTATTATTATTATTATATTATTATTATTATTATTATTATTATTATTATTATTATTATTATTATTATTATTATTATTATTATTATTATTATTATTATTATTGCATCCAGGTGTTCCTACATCTGTGACAACCACTTGAGTCACTTTCATGCTCACTCACTCAGTAGGCATTCATTGATGTTGACATTTGGGCCCGGCTTCCTTGATTTCCATGGACAATAGCAGCTTTGTCGATTCATATATACGCCACAGTCCATAAATTCTTCGTGGCATTTTTTGTCGACGCAATCACCTAAACGAAACAGTACACGCATCATTAAAACAGAAAGTAATTCAGCATCTTAGATTACGGCTAGTTCTCACTGCATCAGGCATTCGAATTTCATAATTTCGCGGTAACCACATGCTTAGAAAAAAAAAACAACCAGCTTGCTTTAAGGGCAAGAAACAACTGCAAACATATGCTTACTTATGCACGTGTCCCCCACTAGATGTTGATTCCACGGGCACTCACACAACACAGTTCCTTTGTGCACACGACAGTCTTCGGTTGGGAGGCAGGTCTGTTTTTGCTCAAGCAGTGCAGCTGACTGTGTGACGAAATACCTGGATATGTACACAAAAAGTTACAAGTGAGCGTTGAAATAAGTACTGTCCCAACTCACGCCTCTGATGACAACTCTGCCGTAGTAGAAGCCACACATGTCGAAGGCGATGCTTTTGCATATTAAAAAAGAGCCGGGAACACATCACCGCCTCTGTGTTTTCTTTTTTTAAATGGCTATGAATCAAATTCAAAATGAATGCGTAAAGACTAAAGAAAAGACGTTATTTGCAGGCTTCGTATTTTAATTGTTAATTTGTTAATTATTAATTAATAGTTGAAAAAAAATATTTGCTAATTGATAACCTGATAAAAGTGTTTCATAGGTCAGAGGTTCCCTTGCGAGCCCCTATATAGCTTACCTGTTATAGTTACTCCAGAAAAAAAAATGATGTTTCATATTTCACATGCGAACAGTCGACAGATGTTCCCACGTGCACATCACTTGTGCGTGTGTGTGTGCGTGTGTGTGCGTGTGTGTGCGTGTGTGTGTGTGGCCTATCCTGTGTTCCCTAGAATGGTTTGTCTAAAGTGCTAAATGGACATATGCTGGAGAAAAATGCCCTCACAGAGTATCTTGTGCATTCGTCCAAGCCAGCTCGAAGACTGCAGCCATTCCGCGTGGCTGTTTATAATAATAATAATAATAATAATAATAATAATAATAATAATAATAATAATAATAATAATAATAATAATAATAATAATAATAATAATAATAATAATAATCGGAGCTTCAGAGACTACGTGAGTAGCTGCACACATTGTTGTTCTGTTGGCTTCTGATGATGAGGAATTGCAGCTCAGCCCTCTCCAATGGTTTAGAAGCTTTCATCAGCTCCTCTCCCCCTCCCCAACTAGTTACACATTTCTGATACAGGGACGACTGATGAGATTGTGCTCTTCTACTCCGCAATATTACATGTAGAACCAGACTTTTTGCCCAGTATATCACGACTGCGTGCGGTCTTCTTACAAATAAGTTTTAAGCAATGGTGTGGCTCTATGGGAAAATACTTCACTGACGCGCAGAATCACCAGGCTCGTTTCTTGCTCGGACCTATATTTTTTATTTTGTTGTTAATAAACTAAGGTCCCATGGGTCCTTGAACCCCATGTCACATCTTTGAATGCCAGCGTCTGATGAGGTGCTCAAAGAAGTACTGCCACATTTTTGAGGAATAGCAAGAAGGCTATTTTTAAATGTAGAGCACTTAAGTGCCCCGGTTGTCATCCATTCACGAATCTCGTGTGACATGGTGGCAGTAACAATGACAGTAAATAGCACAATACAGGCTCTAACAAGACTAGAATGATCAAAATTAAATTCAAATAAAAGAGAAAGGTCTAAAACAACACAACCAAGAGAAATAACCAAGTGGTAATTGCAATTCTTAAACTTAAGGTCACTAAAAACGGTTCAAAAACACCCTCTGGTGCTGTGCAAGAAAAGGTGCCACAACCAACTGGCAGAGTTGTCGATTTCTCTTCTCAATTGCTTTATATACGGCGCTACATTTGAAGGGGGAAACAATACGACGTAACTCGATGCAAACGAGTCAAGATTCTCCCCCGTATTCACAAGCATTCTTCGACTCGACTTTCATCCTTCACTCGACAGAGTTGAGCACTGCGCCGCAAAAACTCGGCTGAAAATGACGCTGCACTACTCAAGAATCACAGCAGATTATCCCTGATATGCAGTGACTTGCCGTGCCTAGAGACAGCGCTCCCATCGGGTTTCTCAACTGAAGGTGAAGCGTTGAGGGAAGGGACGTTCTAGAATACGGGGGGCTGTCATGTTGCGTTGCTGTTGGACAGAGATAGGCACGGGACTAGCCGACACGAGAGCAGAAGTGGAAATGTTTGTTTTCCAGAAGAACAACTAGCGCCACCTACGCTGCGCTTCTAAATCTGTATCTTGGAGAATAAACCAGTTCCACTTTTGCTCTCGACTGGGCTGGTCCCGTATCTATCTCGGTCTAACAACAACACAACATAATATGGTGTCAAAATCGGGATTGTTTATTCTCTAGATGCATATTTTGAAACACAGTGTGAGTGACGCTCTTTGTTTCTTAGTTCGGGGGCGACGCATAGATAACACTAGAAGAATAACTGCGATACTGCGCGCGTATATAACATATCTCACTGATGCCGTAAGAAACCCTAAACAATTAACTCGAGCATTGGCGTCACCCAGAATTTGGTCAACGGAGTAGTGGAAATTTTACGAACGAAAAATTGCCAGGTGCCCGTGCTCTACACTTCCTAGAGTTTCACAGCAGGGGAGCTGCACTTTTGTTTTCTTTGTCACGTAGTATTAACGCTCTTCTCGCAACATAGCTAGGAAACGCGTGTAAGATACTTTAGTTTGATTTTTACGTTAGCATCGCCAAGCACCTGCAAGACAGCCTCGCCGCAACGGACATTATCAGGACGAGTCAACATCTCTGGCTGGATTTGCAAACTCTGCATATTGAATGGACTCGGCTGAATCAATCAATCGATATTTCAATCAGAACCACTGAATGTCAATTCACCATTCGTTGTTTATATGCAACACGTACAAGTAACAGCTGGTCACAGAGTGGTCCGAAAATGTCAAGAGCTGCTGTGCCCACGTGACATAAATCTACGTCACAGAGTGTTTACGCGTCACTGGGATACCGAACCCTCGATAGCGAAACCAAAAGTGGTTTTTAAGGATGCGGTATTCAAGATATACTTAATATGTTCAAAGAAACCAGGGTACTCTTCTAATGTTTTGTTCAGAGGAACAATATGCATCATTGGAGTCAGTACACTTTCAAGGCTCAGTTCCCCTCAACAAGGATTGTATCGACAGGCATGCTTCTTTGGGTCACTTTGGTTCCACTACTATACCGTCGAGTTAGTTGAGGTCAACGCCGCTCTGAACAATGTTAGAATAAACTACGTCTACAAACCACCTTGATCACATCAAACTGATGGCATGGAACGAAGAGCTGTGTACAAATATTCCATAGACACCACATCACAAACACTGCGAAGAGATATGCAACGCTGATGTGATTACTTTTGCACGGTAATTCCATCTTCAGGCGACGGTAGAGCCACTCGGGCACGTGCACTCGTACGCCTTGTCGGTGGACCTGCATCCATGCTTGCAGACAAACCCAGCTTCTTTCGTCCTGCAAGCATCTTGAAGAGAGGCGAGAGTGGTGAAGGTTAATGCTCGCATTAACGAAACATTATGACAGCAACATTAATGGTTATGCTCATCGAAATCACTCCAAGAACTACCAAATTGTATCCTTCAAACACTCCTAGTCGACCTATAACTGGGCAATGTTAAGGTCACTGTACAATTAATATGTATACCCTCATGTTTCTGTAACGAAATCAAGGATTTTGAGCAGAGCTTCTTTTCTATTCACCTTCTGATTTGATTAGTGCTGCACCACTCGCCGTGAAAATAAACAGAATATTGTAGATAAAAAGCGGTATATTAAGACTTGAGCAACAGAGAGACAACTTCCAGGAGGTGGAAGCACCCACGCTGCTCTAAGTCCCACATACCCTGGGTGTCTGTTCGGAGCTAATTTGGGACATATTGGCTAGCTTTCAACAGTCAAGCGGCGAATATTTCAGGTACAATACATGTCGAGTTTCTGGTTACTGTGAACTTTTCTATTGGGTCCGCATTTACCAGACATTTTATCTTATTACTTGCAGATAACGCAGCAAGCAAACGTAAACAACAACCATTGTTTGCAAGCCTCTCTGTCATTATACTGACAACAGCTCAACAAAAGACAAGGGATAGGATGTTGGCCTATGATCGCACATGCCAGCACTACCCATGCCAGCGGGATAAAGTGCATAGTGGCACCTAAAGTGCAGCGCGACTGCAAAGCAAGGGGCACACGTAAAGAAACGCGTGGACTCAGCTGAATCAGAGATTATAATGCTGAGTGTGAAAGAGTAAATGTAAGGGCTCGTTCTTTTTTCGTTAGACATTGTATTACTGAGAACTAACAGACAGTGTGAAACATTGTCTGGTAGTTCTTAACATTATTGTCTGTTTCGAACTGACTGTGTTAACAGACAGTGTGAAACAGACAACCAACTTTTAATGAAGCTGCAATGTTCACATTCAATGGGATTTCACTACTTACAGCTGGACTGGTATTACGCTAACTCTGCACCAATTTCGGTCTATACCTTCAAGAAAAAAAAACGGTTTCAACGTGTACTTCTGCAAGTGAACTGTCCTTTTACCATTCCAATGTTTATTAGTTTCAGACTCCTGTATGTGTTTCTTTACTTGTTCATTTTTTTAGTTAGCAGCGGGGTAGCCACTTTTTTCACTGGTGAATTTATTGAAAGTAGAAGCCGAGTTATGCAGACCTCAGCCTTTCCACAGGAATTCACTTAGAACAGAACAGCTTCAACGTTTAACGTCGCTACTGAGGTGTGGGTCAAAATTATTTTGGCAAGAGCTCTCTCTCTTGTAAATTGATTGGTTGCTGTTGCATAGAGGTTACTACATAATAATAATTGTTGAGCTTTAATGTCCCTAAACTACGATATTATTGTGAGATACGCCGTAGTGGAGGACTCGGGAAATTTTGACCACCTGGTGTTGCTTAGCGTGTTCATAAATCAAAGCACGCGTGCCTCCAGCATATTCACTTCCATCGCAAATGCAAGGATGTCGTCCCGAGACATGCAGGTAAGATGTCGAGCACTTTTAGACCGACTGTGGCGGGCGCTGATATCATAACAATTTATAAATTTGTTCCCAATTTACCTGAGGCTCGCATACCAAGCAAGGGGCAAAAATACTGTGCTCCTTATTTTCCATTATCGTTTGCGCAAAATTATACTATTTTTACATTTGAGTAATAGCAACTACAAGCATAACTTCGCCTTTTCTTTACTCTTGGTTAATATTCCGAGGCTAAATTTAAGTCGCACGGCTACTCTGGCTACTTTTAACTTCGCTGGGCGCTCCCTTTCTCGTCTACCCAACGGCAACCCTACATATGCCAATACCGCAAAATCTGTCTAACCATCATATCTCCCTACCCCTCGCTTATGCAGTACTCTCTTACAAAAATAAATATATATATATATATATATATCTTTAGCGAATAATGTTCTACCACCAATAAGATCATGGAGCACGCCGTAATATGAAAATCCGGAATTAATTCTGCCAGCAGACGTTTTTCCTTTTTCGATACCATGTTCGCTGCTAACGAGGTGCTGGGTTCGATTTCCGGCTACGGCAGATGCGTTTCGATGAGAGTGAAATACAAAATGCATCCGCGTACCTACATTAAAGGGCACGTTAAAGGTCTCCATGTGGTCTAAGTTAATCCACAGGCACAGACCTTGGCCTCACGATAATTTTGTGGATCTGTCAGCACAAACACCTAAAAACAAGTGTTATTGCTCATCGCTGCCATCGAAACACAACTGTCAGTGCCGGGATTGAAACAGCTACTTCGTGGTCAGTGGCGCAGCGCAACAGCCTATAAGCCAACACTGCTGGTATTCTGTTGCAAGTTTCATGTTTCTTGTACCAATCTGTCACCTTATATTTACTGCGAAACTTGTAAACCATTGTATGGGTGCTGTAACCGATGTTTAGACAGGTGAACTTATTATTGTCGATGCTGCAGCCTTGAAAAAGACAAGCCCAATTGTCAAAACATTGACTGCAGCACCCACACCCTATTTATAAATTTCTCATCACAAGCTTCCATCTGCCATCTTTCCCTTCTTGGTTGATTGATATGTGGGGTTTAACGTCCGAAAACCGCCATATGATTATGAGGAAGCCGTAGTAGAGGGCGCCAGAAATTTCGACCACCTGAGGTTTTTTAACGTCCACCCCAATCCGAACACACGGGCCTACAACATTTTAGCCTCCATTGAAAACGGAGCCCACACAGCTGGGATTCGATCCCACAACCTTCGAGTCAGCAGCCGAGAACCTTAGCCGCTATAGACAACCGCAACGGGGCCATCTGCTCCTTCTTGCCTCTCGTTATATATGTTACTGTTCTCCGTCTTAACGTTTAATTATAAATAAAACCTTAAAGAAATTGAAGCCTAAATGATTGGGGTGGCCTGTACCAGGTGTAATTTGCTTATGTTCCGCTCAAGATTTCGACGTTTGGTCATGCAAATGCGCTAAAAGGATCAACAAAGTAGAGGGACACCGAAATTTTAGATCTCAAGCACTTCTGCTTGAGATCTATGGAGCCCACCATAAAAATCTTAGTTTAGTTAGGTTAATTGAAAGTAGGAGCATGTGCTATTCGGCTAACCATGGTAAGGATTCAAGGTTTATGAGCGTCTCGTTTTGTTATTATGCGCCTTCAATTAGCGCCAAAGCAAGTGATGCCTCTCAAGTTGTAAGCTTTCTTTCTTTAACTTGACGATTGGTTGACAATAGTAGATATATAAATATCCGCCGTTGCAGCGTTAAAACTCTGTTTCCTCCTTTTTTTTTCAAAGAAGTTGAATGTGTGCTTGTTCATTGATGGGCAGAAAAATCAGTAATCTAATATGTCAAGCAATACTAAATTGTGACCATTTAACTTTCGTAACCTGGTATTTTCAATGTGAACGCACATCAAATACGTTTTAGCTAGACAAACGTTGTATCATGCAACCGAAAAATTTCCCGTCCATACTTTTACACTGTCTGTCCGGTCCTTTGGGGCTCCCAGGAGAGCAATAGGAGTCAGCTGGAGGAGCGGCTGCAACATAAAACGTTAACAAATTCACAAAACTGTTGATAACAGTGCAAACCATTTGCGTTTTTTTTTAATGTTTGCTCCATCACAAAAGTCATGTTGTGTCTGTTTTGGACGTTTTTGGATGTCTTGGACATGGACGTTTTTTTTTTTTCAGAAGAACTTTTTTTTGTTTTTCAAGGCATTTGGTGCACACAACCTGATTTTTTCATCGCTAGTGCATGTAACCTTTCTTTTGACATCATGCAGATAGCACAAAAATAGGCTAAGCTTAACACCGAGTTGTTTTTGTATACCACATACCTTGTGTGTTACAGCATGAGGACACAGTATTAGAGCTTGTTGTTATGTTAAAAACAATCATTGATTGATATGTATGGTTTAACGTCCCGATACCACCATATGATTATGAGAGATGCCGTAGTGGAGGGCTCCAGAAACATAGATCACCTCGGGTTCTTTAACGTGCACCCAAATCTGAGCACACGGGCCTACAACATTTCCGCCTCCATCGGAAATGCAGCCGCCACAGCCGGGATTCGAACCCGCGCCGTGCGGGTCAGCAGCCGAGTACCTTAGCCACTAGACCACCGCGGCGGGGCAACAAACAATCATGGCTGCCCCCTCCGTCTTAAGAATCGGTATAACATGAAAGTTAAACTTGCCTTTAAAGAGATAGTTGAGCGTTTATTGTGCATTATTTCACCACAAGGGCTAAGGAATGAATGCCATGGCAACGAATTGTGATGTCTCGCGAAGAACACCAAACAGCACGGAACTCTCAACGTGCTCCTTAAGCAGAAAGAACGCATGAAAAGAACATGCACAGGATCAGTGTGAACTAACTACTGTCACAGTTCGACAGCTAAAATGCGTTGCTCAAACGTGAAGGAGAACGCGCGGAAAGATAGCACAGGCATACGCCGGACGAACGCGAATCAACAGTCACAATTGTCACTTCTTAGTGCGTGAGAAGCGTGCTCAATTCGCGAACGCAGTCGCGATATGCAGTGAGCGAAGCAGCCTTCATGCTTTTTGCAACTTTAGCCCAAACTTGTAGTGAAAACTCAGACGTGCAAACAACTGCAATCCCGAGGTAAGCGCGCTCACACGAGTGACCACGCCAGCGCGTGCACCTCGCTACGCATGAGGCGACGACCTTTAGATAACATCCTTCGAGCCATCTCACAAGTGACAAAGAGGGCACTCTAAAGTGCCACCGTGCTATGAGTACTATGAGTGGTGAATGAAGCGTATAAGTAACTCCCGGTTAACATGCTAAAAAACCGTGCGCTTTTGAATTCGGCCGAGTTGATCGCGCCGCGCGCCACGGAGTGAGGGGTCGTAGGTTCGACTCCCGGCCATGGGTGACGGAACCTCGACTTTTTGATTTTTACTGTATATTTTACAACGTGTTATCCCTGAACGCAATGTCTCAGTGCCGCTGAGGTAGAACCTGGCATAAAACACTTTCTTCCTAAAAACTATGTGTGTTTAGATATAGTTGGTAACGATTTAGAGTACTTGGTACTCTACTATGGGAGCTAAAAGCCTTCCCGTTCTCGGAGCGATCAGATCGAAGAGCTCCCTCAATACAAATACCTATTCCATGGCGAAACTGCTTTTTTTACCGACTTCAAGTCAGTATCGAACGTGTCAAGCTAACGACGTGCATAGTTCCAAAAACGTTTTCATCGAAACGGCTCAATATTGCGGAATGCCTTCCAAGCGAATATTTTGCGCGCGCATTGTGTTTCCCGGCTTAATTAAAAAAGAAACACAACGTTCTATAAACAAAAAACGCAGCAGTGTCCAAAGCTGTTACGTAAATTGAGCATTGCGCGTACCTGAACAGTTGCTGTGTTCCACCCCTGACAACAACGAGAATCCCTTTGAAGCAGGTTTTTCTCGCAGAGGTCTTTACAGGTCAAGTCGGGACGAAGACACGTGGTAGCTGGAATCCGAAGTAAAATGGTGCGATTCGGATGGCTACAGTGTGGTAACGATGTACACAATTGCTGACTCGAGTTAAAAAAAAATCAGACACCAATGTCACTCCTGAATAGCCTTAAACCCATCCTTGACCCATCAACTCCACGAAGGCTGGCGCACAGTGAAGCTATACCTGCATGATGATCCCCCTTGAGGACTTACTTGTAATGACCCTTGATGCCTTCACTAGTGGCGGCAAGCACCCGCCGTTGCCGTGCTGCCTTAGCTTCGCGAGTGTACATTTTGGAGTCATGGGCTCTTCGTCGACGCTTGGCCTCAGCTTCGCGATCCCACAACACTATGTCTTCAGCCCGGTGACGTCGTCACTCTATGCGACACCTTATCGAGATTATGTATGGTTAGGAAAGTGCGCGAACTCTTGCATACATGTGTATATGTATACGGCTTATATCTTCATGATATATGTATTTAATTTTCACTTATTTTACTGATACTGTAAGCAATAACATGCTCTTTTAGGAGTAGGGATAAAAATGATACAGACTGGCATCTGCACATCTGACCAAAGAACAAAAAACCGTAATACAAACAACAGAAAATAAAAATTAGATAATGATACAAACTACTGTATAGAAATAGAAATTGCAACCACCGATCTGGTCGAAGAAACGGAAGACAAAATAGAATGGAAACAGCACAGGCTATCAGGGAAGAGTATACAGAAAAAAAATGTGAAAATTGAAATCGCGAGTGACATATAAATAAAAAACGTACATTCCGTGAATAGTCGCGCCATTCTCTGCAGTGCTGTAACTTACTGTTAAAAGAATTTTTCAAGGTGGGCGGATGAAATAATTGACGTATTGCATCCGCAACTGAGTCGTTCCAGCCAACCACCTCGAATTTATTCTACCATATCAAACTTATTGAGAACAAGAAATATCGTGGCTTTCTTCCATTGAAAACACCTAATTACTGGAACATTGAGGAAAGAAAAAGTTTTTGATCACGTGGCGGGAGCCTTTTGAATTCCGTGCAGTGTCGTCTGAATGTTTTTTATTAGAAAACTAACGCTAAATGTACTGTTTCTCGTTGGAATTCCACATGGGGTTTACAATTTAAGCAAGGGCATTAGTGCAAGGTGCTTGAAGCACCGTAATATTACATTTCTCGGCTAAATTCACCTCCAAAAGTTTTCCAGAAATAGTCTATGTTGCATGTGTTCGTCTTGTAATATGGCAATGCATCAATCTATGGGCAATGAATTTTGCTCTATGAAAAGCTTACTTTACATTAAAATATTTTTAAACCATTGAAATTTCCAAATGTCACGAAATAAAATCTGAATTTGAGAGTATCGTTATCGTAATTATTTAGATGCAGTTTACATCTCGTGGTGTTCCACTTGAAACTTACCTTTATACTTACTGTAAAGCGTTCACTCAGCGTAAGAGCTAGCACGCGCAGGCTTTTAATATACATATAGAGCGTTTCAACTAACTTACAACCGAGTATAATGTTTTTTCACAAACTCAAAAGAAAAGAAAAAAAAACATTTCAACAGTGCAACTATCTTAGCATAGTTTAAATAACGTTGCTGAACAAACGCTACAGAAAGAACGTAACTAGTTTTAATTATATAGAATGTTTTATAATTACATCTCTTGCGTTACGAATAATTATTTTTAATTTACCCATTCGTGTCAAAGGCAAACTTCAATGAGGAAGCTGCCATATGGCGAGATTGGAAGATATCCGCAATTGGGAAGCTTAAAAAATATTTAATCGCTCAAAACAGATATCGCAATGTCAAAATTTACCATATAAAAAGTAGCCTTCGCTTCTTTTCAATTGAGGTATGAAGCAGATTGTTTGAGCAAGAGAGGTTTAAATTAAGAGCTATAATGAAGAATGCTTCATTTACAGTGAAATTATCAACAAAAAAGAATCTGTGGATATATACAGATGCCTAGCTGAAGTTTGAAAATTCAAGTGGTCTCGAAATAAATCCAACGCAACGTATACGTACCCGAGAGTATTCATTCATTGCTCACATATTCCTAAATATCCCAATATTGCAAGAGAGAAAAAAATTAACCATGAGACATTTTGGCGCAATATTTGGGAGCACATCGAAAAAAACAGCAACATATTGAGCCTTGGAGCATCTCATAAAAAGAATTTCGCCTCATGTGCAAACCAAATTCAGTATCGAAACGAGAAACGATATACTTAAAATAAAGTTTCTGAGAAACAACATCCAGACAACATGCGGTGAAATTCGAAATAGCCCGAAGCAACAGTAATTTAGTTTTTCTCTGGAATACCGCAGCGATTCCTTGATTTGAAAGCAAGACATGAGTGTGATTTTTTTAATAGATTTCTGGTGACTCCTAAAATGGCTGGGACGTTTGGTGTGGAACTAGTCACCCTTAATTATGTCAGCTTGCACATTTATATTGATGAATTGATAGGCTTAGTTAGATTAAGTTGCAAGAGAAAGAAACAAAATCTATAGAAAATCTCTTCCTAGAGTTAATTCTCCCAGGCGTCTTAATTTGCCAAGCCTATAAAGAGATCTAGGTAATGGCGTTTATGCAGTCGCACCGTGGTTAAAAAATTCTCCTAAATTTGACATCGGAGAATTAGCAAAATTATAGCGCAAACGCAAAATAAGGCAAAGCACGCGCAGAATGACAGAACTCCAAATTTAAGGTTTGAGCGCGAATATTAACATAGGCATGGTCGCGAAAGTCGTTAGGTAATCGTTAAAAAAAAGAAATCGATCTAAGTTTATGCTTTGTTTCAAGCAAAGTGTTTAAGAAATATCTGGTAGTCCATATACGTTTAAAGTCGGCATCACAGAAGCAGCAGAATCGACGAGCACTTACGGACACAGTTCCGGGTGGTCTTGTTCATCGCACCCCATTCACCACAGTCACACGTTGCGCCAATAAACCCATCCGTGCGCAACTTAGCAGTGCCACCCCTGTTTCGGCAGTCAGTTGCGTAGTCATTTTTAACTGTAAATAATTCAAAAAAATGCTGTTAGTGTTACATTGATTTGTGTTTATTTTCACTGCATTACATCTACACTCGTTCAAAATTTTAACAATTTGATATCAGTAATTTCGTGTGGTTGTTTCTCTGCAAATATCTACCGCGCGTGCAAGCCGATTCCGTCTATAATTAAAAAGAAAACAAAACACCACGCAATCCGGCAAAAGTTGTAGTTGATGTATATTAGTGATAGTTATGTGTAACATATAGCATGTATTAGCAAGTACTAGTTTCGGATTAGCCAACCTTTTAATTATTGTTTGAATAGGTAACATATTGGGATCAATTTGTGGGCAGCCTCTAAAACACCAGAATTAGGCACTTATTTTTGTGCTCAAATGTGACTTGCTGTTTCTTCTAAAAAAACGAGAATAATTAGGCGCAGGCTTTAAATACACGCAAGTTGTATGTAAGCAGGAGTCACACGACAACCGAAAATATACGCCAAATGAAACTTTCTCGAAGTGCATTTTTTTTTCTTCTTCTAAAACCTTGGTCTGATTTAGCTGGTACACCCGGTATAAGTATAAAGAACAAAAGAACGAAAAAAGAAAACTTTTATCGAAGGGAGCACTGTAGCTGTCTTGGTGATTTCAGCTAGCTGGTTATGCACAGTAATAAGGAAACATCACACGAGGGCAAAAGCAACAACAGTGACAGGAACAGGTGCTATTGGTTTTATCCCCATCCGTGAAGGCCGTGGCGTTTCCTTATTACCATGTATAACATTGGCAGGTAAAACTTTAAGGGTGGCCAGCAGTGCCGAAAATGAGGAAAGAGTAAAAAAAAAGAATGTAAGGAGAAAAGTATAGTGCGACTAGTTACATCTGTGAAAAATGCTAGTAGCTACAGAACGAGATGGTGACGAATAAAAACAATGAAAGCGTGAGTGCAGATAATTGAAATGCACAGAGCAGCGTACTGCAGCAGATGTGATCGGTTAGGTCAGAGTGAGTTGCCTTCAACGAAAAACCGCAGAAGGCAATAAATAATTTTAAATGCCAGAAATACTGACGAAAAAAAAAAGAAACATGCTAATGCTTTTTATACAACAAAGCGTGCCAATGGAGAGCAAGTGGAATGAAAATGGGTCATCCTCGTCGTTAAATTAAGTAAAGAAAAAAACATGGTGATCGCTTACTTTTGCATTGTAGCGTCAGATCGTCCGATGCTTCGCAGACGCAGCTAGCCTTGCTCGGGTTACTTTCAACGCAACGTCCATAGCTGCAGTCCCTTGTCTTGCACGTATCTTTATCTAAAATAGTGTAAAACATTGTACAATTAACTGCAATAAATGAAGTTAAGAGGACAGAACACCATTTCACAGCACTCAAGTTATATTCTCCTGAAATCCAGAGTGAATTTAGGGTTGGATTTTTTTTCTTTTAAACTTGCAGAAATACTTCTTCTGAGTGCGAAAGTAAAGAAGTGCCGCGTATACTCTCTGTCTTTTATGTTAATAGACCGCCCTACGCTGTCCATTATATTGGAAATTGGGATTCTTGGGAAGCTTTTTTAGGAACGCATGGAATGGATATTCCTAATATGTACTTTTTGTGTTATTTAGGTTTTTACGAACATAAATTAATGCTCAAGTAGTCATATTTCTCAAGCAGAGAAATTGGCCCCTTTCAACGCTGCAACCGTAAGTGAGTAGTTCTCGATCCCGCCATTTACAACGCTTCTGGAAAGGCGGGAAACTGAAGCGAGTTTGATCACATTCGCTAAATGGTAATACGTACCAGATTATATCAGCCACAAAAGTACTACCAAGCAGGAGCCAAGTGCTTTGAAAGACTTTACACGCTGTGTTCCATAGTCATTTGCATTGTCAAATATATTGGATAAGTTCCCCATTGCTGGGTCTCAGGAGGCTATTTAAAAAGGGAACTATATCATGTATCCACGAAAATGCCGCAATAAAAAAAACGGTGAGGTTTGTCACTTTACTATTCATGTTAATTTTTGCTAACATTTTAACATTAATATAAAGGTAGGATAAACAGGTGCGTTAGGTAGTGTTCTCGATGTTCACAAGAGTAAGCATAGCGCGAATAGTCATGCCCTCAGCTACTCCGAGTCATTGCAGTCGTTGTGCTTATATACGAGTTACAAGTTTTGTGTGCGGTGAGCGTTTCGAACTTTCTCACAAAACATAATAATTGGCAGCCATATAGGTGAAATTATACCAACGTATATACAATAAGTAGAAAAAGGAGTAAGAGATATTGAGGTTTACTTACATTCACATTGCTTTTCAGCAGCGTTGAAGTACATATTATCTCGCGGACATTTGCACACGAAATCATCCTCTGCACCAGGCACCACTTCGCATTCAGCGTTGCGACAGAACTCGTTCCCGAAGCCAGAGCAAATGGCTGCGATAATAAAATTGAAGCGATGAGTACACGTTATAGATTGCTTTACTGTGTAAAGCAGGGGTCGGCTACCATTTTAAGTTGGAGGGCCATGTTGCGTGAATCTAATAGAGTGGGTGGCCGCGTGGAAAGTGTGGGTTTTGTGCAATAATGTAAAAAAAAACTGGCTTACGAATAACGTTTACTTTCAACATGCATGTCGCTAATTTTCAATAAAACATGGGTTACTAGCGAAAATTCAGTGTTTTGGTCAGAACTGTTTTGTCGACTTTCTGATAGGAAGTGATAAAGGAAGTCGGAGAGGTGTTCACGACATGCTGGAGGCACCAATACTGCCCCACCGGCAGTATTTACGCAGTACTGCTCAATACTGTCCAAGTTACTCCTCTCAGTACTGCCCAATATTAGGCAGTACTGCCACGGGGCAGGTTTCCACCTGTGGCAGGTTGCCACGTGCGGCCCGCAGGTTGCCGACACCTGTTGTAAAGCATTTTTTTAGCGTATACGAGTTAGCAGGCTCTTAATATACATACAGGGCGTTTCAACTAACCTACAACCAGTATATTGTTTTCGCGAACTCTAAAGAAAAGATGACAAACATTTGAACAGTGCAACTATTTTAGCATAGTTTAAATAATCCGATGTTGTCGAACAATTTTTACAGCCTTTCTGTTGAATATTTTTCGTTAGAGCTATGATAATAAATGTCATTCATATAGCTCACAGATGCACTCAGAGACACGGAGAAAGAAGTGACCAGGGCTCAATAAAAGCTGAAATTTCGAAGGAACATGTAAGTATAAATGTGCAGAATTGCCGCCTTGCACATTTTTCTTAACTTGAAGTAAATTATTGCGTGTTATCATTGTCAAAAAACGCTTCCGATAGCATGTACTCATGCATGGGCAATTCTGCTTATTTGTACTCGCATAATCATTCAAAATAAATTTCAGTCTTTAGTCAGCGCTGATCCCTTCTTCGTCCGTGTCTCTGAGTGCGTTGTGAGCTATTATGGATCTTCACCAACTAGCCCCATCAAAAACTTTATTAAATGTTTATTAAGCAATCTTTGTTCATTTCCCAAATTACCGGATTGGCAGTTGTATTAGCCTGTACGAAACAATTTGACGTTGCAGAACAAGTCCTATGTAGCACTTGTTCAATGCAAAGCCTGTGTGAGTTTTGCATTGAAGAATATCGTCTTCCTAAGCGGAAAAAAAGAAGGCAGCTGCACCCCGGTGGTAGCAAGCTTATAGAAACTACAGAGCTGGCAGCCCTCTTTCTTTCTCTTCAGTTTCCTTCTTTAATCCTTCTCTTTATTTTTGTCCCTTCCCGCTTTTCATTTCTTGTTTTTGTTTTCACTTCTATTTATTTATCCCTTTTGCTTTATCTATTTTTTCTCTTTATATTTTTTCTATGTGCCCCTTTCTGTCTCTATTTCGCACTTGCTTCCTTTTTCATTTCATTTATTCAACCTTAAGGGCCCGATGGCATTACATAAGGGGGGGGGGGGGGTCGTACATACAGGTTGTAAGTTCCTAAGCAATGTAAACAGTATGAGGGTACACACTGATTACAATGCATGAGCAAATATAGAACACAAGCGGTAATAACACGCATGACAAAACATAAAAAATATAATAGGCGATGAATAAATTCTAGGAGTACAGTAAAACAACTATAAACGCAATGGTTAATGTGCTGTTAGGACATCGTATTTGGATTTTGGAAAAGAGTTTTTCGCGAAATGTTGAGCGGTCCCTGCCAGAAACAATGTTATCTGGCAGTGCATTCCAGAGTGTTACGGCATGGAGGAAAAATGAGCTGCTCATCGCCGTCGTCCGGCATTTTATGGTCATCAGAGGGTGCGTATGGGACAGGCGAGAGGACGTTCTTAATGGGCGTTTTAGGAGAGGGTGTCCAGACCTGCTAAAGTAAAAGAATGTGTGAAAGAGGCAGATACGAGAGGTTATGCGACGTGAAGCGAGCGATGCGAGTGACAACGTTTGTTTTAGTGCAGTTACGCTGATATGGCTTAAATATTGTGACGTAATGAAACGAGCTGCGCGATTTTGAACGGCTTCCAAATCATCGGTGAGATAAGCTTGTGAAGGATGCCAGATGAATGACGCATACTCGAGTTTTGGTCGCACGTACGTCAGATATGCGAGTTTCTTTATGTCAGGAGATGCAGATCGCAGATTACGTCGTAAGTCAGCTAATGTGCGGTAAGCTTCATAACGAATGGTTTCAATGTGTTTCACCCATGATAGTGATGATGTCAGATGAACACCTAGATACTTGTAAGTACGCGTGTGATCAATGGGAACCGAATTAATGCAGTAGGTTTTATGTGAGGTGTTGTGTTTACGTGTGAAGGAGATGCCCTTGCATTTAGCGAGGTTAAGGGGCATATGCCATTTTTCGCACCATGAAGTGATGGTGTCAAGGTCGTGTTGTAGGGTGATTGCGTCGTTAAAGGAGTGAAGGGGGTTATAAAGAAAGCAGTCGTCCCTTTTTCCCTAAATTTTATGCGTTGTTTTGCCAGCGTTGCGCCAAACACATTATTTATTTATTTTATTGATGATGATGATTATGATGATCATTATCATTATTATCATCATCACCAATGTGCTCGAAGAACAAGAAGGCATCTCCTTGGTGCGAGCGAGCGCTCAATGTGCTACACATAGCGTGTTGCACCAAACAACGAAGAACGCACACTGCAGCATACGACAGCGCTTTCCAATCAAGTGCTCCACACTTAAATGTTACTTAAGCAATCTTCTTTAAATACCTGGCATGGCTAAATGAAGCATGATGTCCTGACATACTGCATGCGGCTCAAAACAATACTGTCATCGACAAGCCTAGAGCACTTTTTTTTTCAGATACTGGACTCGGTTCACCTGAAACACCTCGCATATAAAAGTAAGAAACACATATGTTAGCGTTTATTAGTATTGGACAACAAGTAATACTCTTTAGCTGGTCCTCACGCTCATGGCAAATAAAATTAACCGCTAACTTGCCTTCACCAGTATGTTGGCCCATTGAAAAAAATAATTCCTTCATGTTTGCTTGCAGGCTCGCAGAGAAGCAACAACGCGTCGTGGTTGAACATGAAATACAAATTTCACCGAAGAAGCAAGGAGTGCGTAACAAACATCCATTCTTCGCATTATGCATTGCTATGCTGTAAAGAAAAAAAAATCTCGCCTCCCTTGATGCATTTGCCCGTTGACTGGCGCGTTGGCGATAGCCACTGGGCGCACAGCAAAGGAGAGTTTGCGGAGTAATGTCGTACACACGTGATGAAGCCATCAATCCAACGACGTCACAAGGCTGTGCCGTATGTACATTGTACGCAAAACCAATCTCAAATCTCACTGGCTGATACGAGTATTCAGCGCCACAGCGACGACAGTAACTGATGGGCCACCATTTTGTATTTTCTTCCGAGCAGGCTACTTGCCGGTTATTTCAAAATCGTTTTTGGTTTGTTTCGCATGTTCATATCACACATCATAGGGTCGAGTTTTTTTTTTTACATATAGTTCAGGGCTAATGGGAACAAGGCGCAGAATCAGGAATTTTTATTATTTTTTTCTCAGTAAACCTCCAGAGGTAGTCTGCTGATGTCACTGTGATACCGGGCCGTTATCACAGTTTTGACTGCATTACTTAAAAGACCAACGCAGTGGGCGTGGCCTGAAAAATTTCGACCAATAGCGGAAGAATAAATAGTTCATAAAGAATAGAAATGATCTATACAGATTTACTTTATAGCGAACCCTTAATTGCAAAGTTATCAAAGTATTTTCAGGCAGAAAAGACTCGTCAAAAAAAATTTTTTTTCACGACCTGCCTCGTAACCAACGCGGACAAGTAATGCGCACGACAATGGCGAAGCCACTAGCCGTTCAGGAACAACGAGCATAGGCCTAGTACACCTTTATGTCGTAGTCTTGAACAACCATGCTCCTAATTTGTTCTCACGTAAGCCGATTTTGGCCGTGTGGTTACGAAAATAGGAGTGCTGAGCTTCAGAAGTACATGTTAAATTACCAAAACAACTAATCATGCGCCTACTGGGTATCAGGTCAAAAGTTCGATTACCAGCAGCTGCTCCTCGATGGAGGCATAATGTAAGCTTTGTTTCACACCTGGAATAAAGGTATACTTTATTCTGGAGCATGAACGAGTGCCAAGTAAACGGTAATTTGTGAGTGAGTCATCTAAATGGCTTCTCTCTCTCTCTCCATCGCATTGCCATTTTGGTGCGTTTAAGTTTTTATAACTTAACGATACATTATTAGTCCTACAAGAAAGTGCAGTACTTAAATCAGTTTTTTTTTTCTGGGCTAGTTGCAATACTCAACATTGATGCATCTGCAGTGCTGAAGAAAAATAGTAAAAGTAGACATGCAGGCACGGACAGAAGGGAATGACGCTATCCATATAGCGTCGTACTGCCTCTTTCGCATTCCCTGTCTGCATTTTATTTTTTCACCTAAGCGCTTGAAACCCATCGAATACTAAAAGAGTATCTATCCCGATACTTTTCATCTTTGTGATATCTGTAAATTAATTTTGATTAACGGTTCACTGTGGAGTGACCACTAACACGCGTTATTAAAATTAACGTCTTGTGCTGTATATGCACACTTACTCGATCAACCATCTCAAGAATGGCTTACAATAAGAGAGAGCTAAGCTAACTAATAAACTTCACGTGAAGAGGCTGCGCAAGCAAGCACGGAAGGACACGAGAGAGAAGTCAAGGTGGCACAAAAGAGGGCACTTATGTTCTTTCAAATTCCCTCTTGTTCTCGTGTCTGCACGCCAAGTGTTTAGCGAAAATTGCTCATTGGATGAAAACTCACATGATTCTGCTGTGCACTCTACAATCAGTGAAACAGCGGCGACGAACAAAGCGATGCCACGCATCTCGACTGCGTCGAACCACCGCAGCTGTCGCACTTTCCACGGATCCTGTCGAGGCCGGTGCTGAAGCAGCGACATATGCCACTTGCGCTATAGCGTATACCGTTATCGCTGCAGACATTTACCGTTGCGCTTTGCTTTTTATCTGCTGCCAATCAGTACTCGAGAAGTTGGCCTCCACATTTCCTTTGTGCAGCGCACGTCACCTACCCCGGGCACATCGCCAATCGCACGCTACGAGATAAATATACGCGTGATACGTTATTGCGGACATTCGTATAAATGGCAGGCTAAAATTTCAGACCGAGAGAGAGGGGAAATGGGTGGCAATTAATGGGTCAGGAGGTCAGTCAGACGGACGTTCGTGTTGATACATTCCGCGGCTATGAAGCATTAATGCAAGTAATCACAGAGGAGTAAGAGGCAAGACAAAACGTTGAGGGTTTCGCTTTGCTTGGAGGTGCGTAACGAAACTGCTGCCACTTGCAACGCCTTCAGGAACCGCAGTATTATTAATTATTTTTAATTGAAAACATACTCCAGCCTGAAAATGCTCTCACAGGTGATGGAAGTAGCAAATGCGAAAACAGCAAAAACACTATGTAAATGGACTGAGGATGTGGATCAATGGTTAGAAACATACAAAAATAAAAGACCTGAGAGGGTCAGCGAAAGCGTTCCATAGTTCTCTACTGTCGACAAACAAACTTAGGTGATGAAAGGGAGACATATTCAATTCACGAAGGTGTCTAGATGATGTTGGTGCAGCGGAAGTGGTGAAGTTGCTATGAGGAGTAAATCGTGGATAACGAATAAAGGTATAAAAAATTTCAAGGCTTCAACAACACTACGAGTACCGAAACTAGCATGTAGAAGCCCAGTTATACAGAAGGCTAAAGATGCCTGTCATAGCAGCGGTAGTGCTTTCATCTAAAATGGAATCTCCAGAGATTCCATTTTTGCGAGGTCATAATTTTTGGGAGGGTGCCAGATATGGCAAAGCCATTCGCGAGTATTGGACAAATGACACGCGTTCATATCCTTACAGGTTTGTGACAGCCAAGGGGCAAATGCTGTTGCCACCGCTAACGATATTCACGGCTCGGGGCCCCGAAGGGTTCGTAGGATAAGGTGTGGCCAACGTTGTTTCCATAGAGGCAGATGTGATGGCTTATAGGCTTCTAACGACAGCTGTTATATGTACTGAAGGCTACCGTTGATTTCAATGCAGGTACGAGCGTTGTTATATGTTCCAGCAAGTCCACTTCGCGTAAGACGAAAACACGCATTACCAATCTATTCCTGTTAGAAACTGTTACAAGTGCATTATATGACTACAGTAAACATCTGACTAAACTTTGATCTTTACGCAGTGTTAGTCTATTATGTGGAGGTTTGATAATAATATTGTTTCATTACTGTCTCACAATTAAGAAGGCTGTAAACTATGCCTAGCACCGGGGCGCAGTTTCTAGATACTATAAGAAGAAGGGGGGAAGGGACGTTCACCTATTCTTTATGTATGTTCGTGTAGACATTTTTATTGGCGTAGCCAAGGTTAGGGGCCTCAACGCCCCCTCGCTCAAAATTTTCAAGTGTGCACACACACACACACACACTCGTGTGTGTGTATGTGTGTGCACATTTGAAAACACACACACTCATGTGCGTGCGTGCGTGCTGTGTGTGTGTGTGTGTGTGTGTGTGTGTGTGTGTGTGTGTGTGTGTGTGTGTGTGTGTGTGTGTGTGTGTGTGTGTGTGTGTGTGTGTGTGTGTGTGTGTGTGTGTGTGTGTGTGTGTGTGTGTGTGTGTGTGTGTGTGTGTGAGCACCAAGGCAAGCACCAGGGCTTCATATCAGCTTACCGGTTGTTGTGTTGCTAATATCCGTGTTACTGTTGGCGTCGTTATGCAATTGTTAGCAACTGCTAATATAAAACATACGCAACTGGTCATCGCATGTCTGTGCGGGCATTTGTACATATATTTTGGCGCCACTTCGTAACATTTCGCTCAATAAAAATATCGCAACACAGTCACCTTCCATCCGCATGCTCCACATAACGCCGATCCAAAGTACGTGGGATTTGCCGAATTTTATTAAAGCAGATGTTATCGCTACTATGAAACGGATAGCAAAGCTGATAAAAAGAAATAACAAGACAGCATACTAATGAAAATAATTGTTGGATATTCAGGTACCAAAACAAGGACATTAGATTATGAGTAATGCCGTAGTGGAGGGCTCGGGAATATTCACCTCAACCGAAATGCGGCCACCCCGGTCGGGATTCGATCCCACAACTTTCGGGTTGACAGTCGAGCACCACAAGCACTAGATCATTGTGACGGGTAAAACAAAACGACTCACACATACAAAAAAAGAACGAATATTATCGCCTATTCATCTGTGTATCTCTTTTCCTTGCACGCACTCCACCCCATACGTGATGCAAGACAAAGTAAACCATAAAAGATTGTCTTCCC